TCACATATCGAGTTATAGATGGTGTAGATTATATTTGATCTAATCTGATTTATTAAAAGAATATCTCACTTAATTACTATCGTGTACTATACCTATATAGATATAGTGTGGTATATATTTTTTGGTTTAGAAGTTCGATTCTTAGACGAGTGAATATGAGAAAATACTTTTTCTAAATTAGTTTACTTATTAGTTTTTATTTTCCATATTTGCCATAAAGTAACGTATAGAATATGTTACTTTATGGCACCCTACTCAAAATAGGCTATCATAACTGAGAGTAGATAATTCGTGGAATTTATTATAAATAAGTACTTATTAAAAAAAGATTGCTCAGTAACTACGAAAGCATAAATAAAGTAAATTAAAATAATTAAGCCATATTGAGAACTTTAATTTGCGTGGTATCCAGTGTATGTATCTATGTATGTATGTATATATGATACTAGGGTATAATTATTGAGTACCACTTAATTATATAATAAACTATTATATAAATACATACCGTATTTACATGTACAGCAGAAAAATACCAAAGAAAGTAATCTTTGCTTTCCATTCATAGATTACTTATTCATGCACAAATATCCCAATAAGATTATTAATAATAATTAATAATAATTAGTATAATAATATGAGATAGCCTACTAATTCATAACAGATTATATATACATATTTTCTTTACGTCGAGACTTAAAATTGTTGTTACTAGCTTAGTGAATAAATAAAATTATGATATAAAACAAAAAAGTAAATATAAATTATTTCTGTTCTATTTTACAATGATTATAATATACACAAAGAGATTTTCTTCAGTGTTAGTTGGAATTGTATCAGTACATATTGGAAGTCATAACACTGTATATGTAAGTGGATCGATGTGGCTGGAACCGGTATATGTGTACATAAGCCGGAACAATGGCCAAGGCGTCGACACAATGGACAATGCCCGTAGCTCCGATACGATAAATACAGTCATCTGTCTATGTGTGTGTTGATATGTGCTTTTGTGTTACATAATACATATGTTACTATAATATAAATCTTGAAGGAGAAACACAGTCAAAATCTATTGAAAAGTATAAGAGTAACAGAAATATACATATAAATTGTATTTAATAGAAACTAATAGAATTTTAAGTCGATTTTTGAGGTGGCAACCCAGTGTGAGACTTATTCGCATTCGTAATTCAACTCTCGACCTCAGGACAATTCACACAGCACCATCTAGTCCCAAGCTTGTTACTAGGAATCTGATAGAAGCACTTACATGTTTTTTTTTATAAATACAAAAAACCAATACAAACAATCGTACTCATTAATACAAATGTTTGTGCCGTGCGAGGAATCGAATCCGTAACCATCGGAAGTTAGGAGATGTATTACCATCGAGACCGTCAGTTTAGTGAAGTATATTGGAAATAAAAGAGCAAAGGAGTGTGAGAGTGAAAAAATAATCAAAGAAATTCATATATATTAAGTTTTAAAAAATATACTAATGAACCAGTTGGACAATAAAAAGAACGATTACAAATAAATAGAATGCAATATAGGTATGTTAAACGAATTATAAAGCTATATAATTGCATATCTGTTCGATATTCCATTTATATGTACTATAGAATAAAATTGAAACTAATCGCTGTTTCTATATACAGTGATGAAAAAATATTATTGAAAAACTTTCTCAAATTTATAGAACTCAAAGAAACGAATGTTACACTTTAACTTAGGTCTAATTATGATAATTTCAAATTTAGTATTTGATTTTTCCAATTGGAGTATAAACAAAAAACTTATAAAATAGTTTATAATACTAAAACAGAGCTATTAAATAATATATGTAATAACATGAAACTGTATAGAATTATTTGATCACAGATGTCGCTAGACCAAAATAAGTGTTATTGGAGGCGTGGTTCTGGTAGATAAGTCGATTTGTGTCAGTACGGTAACGACACACATAAATTTGTGCAGACAAACACAGTTACAACGGCTTAGCTTCCTGGCAAACAAGGGCGGCGGCGGCGGCGGTCCGACTGACATGGTGTCGCATTTGAGGGTTACTCGTGCTTATTAACTAGATTTTATTAAAATTAAAATTCAATCATATAAAAATTATATGAAGGCGATAAGGATTTCATAGAATACTATAATAATACCAAGTGATAAAGTGATGAAGTGATAATAAAGAATAGATTCGTTCAGACGAATTTTGTCAATTTTGATATTTTTATGGATATTTTTTTTTTATAAAACGGAAAAGTATGTCTGTTTGTGTAAAAATTTAATGTGAAGACAAAATACCATCTGTATTACAAAGACGTTTTATCTCAATGAAGTCGCGGATAACCGTTAGTAGGGAATAAACAGACAATGAATTTTGTAGAAATTGATAACCATTACCTGTACAGTACGAACATTACAATACATGCTATGTCGCTCATTTGAGAATTCTTATAAGAGGAGTATATCCACGCAATAAAATTAACGAATTAGGTATTCTTCTTTATTCGTTCTTTCTCTACAGAGACTGCGTTTCCTGTCACCCAATCGCGATAGCAATAATTTATACTGAAATTTTGCCGTTAATATTTACGCTCCGCTCTACTCGGCTTACTCAATTTTTAAAACAAATAAAAGTTATACTTTTATGAAATTATAATTCCAATGCCATATACATTTTTTCAAAATCTTATAGTGTCTTGGTCATTTCATTAGAATGAGCTGAAGATGGTGCTTTTGAAAATCGAGTTCGAGATCGAGAGGGGGAGTTTTGGGTATTATTTTTATGTCTTTCATAATTGAACATAACTTTTTTAATATTGCCGCCAAGCTGCCCTATAAACGTATTCTTATGGTTGCATTACCGGCGCGTGCGCAGACCGGTGTGCGATCACAATGCAACGGAAGACGCCGCCCTCGACAGATGGCGCTCCTCGCGACCGTCTTGAAACTGGTTTCTAATGAACGCAATTTTATTGACCTCACCTTTTGCGGGGTTATTATTCATATCTCGAGTGAACCTTGAATGGTTTTTTGTTAACCTTAAAGAATAAAAGTATATTTAGCAATTTATTTTTCTGATAATAATGGATTACAAATGCTTTTATATATGAATAAGTTATCATTAATACCTATTAATGATAATCTATTTTAAAAGACGTCTAAGAGACCTCTTTTAAAATAGATAAATGGGAAAAATAAATAAATGATTTCTTTCCTTACACACAACCAGACACTACGTGTATAGAGAATTTACATTTATTTTATTACATGTACAAGTTACATTACAATTATTTTTAGATTTTTCTACTTTCCAGCGGTTTAGCACATCGCCTTACTTTTGCTGGTCGCAGTTCAGCGAGTCTTTGCACAATATATTTGTATTCATTGGTATGATTATTTGTATTAGTCTAGGTGTTTTTTATATGTTATGTATTTAGAACTTATTACATAAGCTCTGCTTATTTTGGGACTATATCTGCTGTATGAATTGTACAAGATTATTATTATTCTCATAATTGATGATAATATATACGTCGTCAACTTGTTCAACGTTTCAATCGTCAAAAATATTCAACGTCTATGTACAAGAGTATAAATTAATTCTTATTTTTTATTATAATTACCACATATATGCACAGTTAGATAGGAATCTCCACATCTTGCCGTCGCGTGCGCACAACTTCACACACTAACACGTGTGTCTATGAAAGTAAACACACAGAAAGATAACAACACGCGCCAATTCGAGTGCCGCGTAATGAATGAGCCCTAAAATAAACCGCCATACAAAAAGCACATCTTGTATTACACTGTTTTGTATGGAGAGGAAGTAGGAAGGCAGCTGGCACTGACTTCTTTTTCGGTAATGATGGTTCGGTAGTGCATTGCGCTTTTGTTCCGGTGTCCTGTCGCGTGCCTACATCTATTATTTCGTCTAAGTAGGTGGAAAGGTGTTCACCCGTAATAGTACCGTTGCGTCTCAAGATGTTTGCGTGGAGATGTGGAGGGTTGGCTGCCTACATATGCCTCAGTTGTCCATATTCCTATTTGATTGTCATACGAACACACACAATCAATATTATTAAATAAAAAGGCTGGGAAGAGAACTAAGCAGTATAGAAGGTTACATTAAATAAAATTTTAATAATTGTTTACGCCTCTCTTCGATATTCAAAATTTTAACACAATATCTTTTATTAAAATTCTTTTTCTAAACTTATTTTCAAAATTTTAATATTAGAAATGGTGATAGAATATAAAATGACTTCAAATGTCCAAAATTGTATTTGGAATATATAAATAAACTTCTTTCATGATACGTTGAAAGGGGTTTTGTTTTTATATATTTCGGCTACCATATAAATATAGTAAAAATATTAATTAAAGTTTTTAATTTCCAATACGATATTCTAAATTTAAAATCGGTTGCCGAGCTAAGTTTGGTAAGTATATTATGTATTACGAGTCTCTTAACTCTATAGGTACTTATGCCGTTGAATCATAATTGACGACTGTAATTTGGTTCGTAAACTATGGTTTCAGAATGTAGCGTGCAGTTGGTACTACAATTGTTAGTGAATCGCATAGGATCAAGGAGTTTCCTCGAGTGGGTGTAAAATTGATAATAAATTATCCAATTAAGTACTATCTTTGTGGGGTGGCTGATACTTTACATATGCAATCATGACCAATTTTCTTACTTATTGAAGGTATTAGCAGTACCCTCTTCAGTGCTAGTCGGTGCCAGCATAACAGATTTTAGTTACAATAGATTTTATAATTATTTATTAAACACATCTTTATATAGGTACTTAAGTTTTCTCAAAAACTATTATTTATAGGTACTAATGATGCTGATACGTATAATAAAGATGAAAAGGTTTTTTTTTAACTGCTTAGGTCTCTGTATGTTTTATATTAAAAATACATTTTAGTATTTACAAACAGTTTATTACTTAAATAATAATTGGTTCTACTATACATTGTTTCAGGTTCTGAAGAAGTGGGAATAGCTACACCTAATAATGATGAGAGTGCAGGTAATACGTTTGGTATTTATTTGAATAATTAAACTATATTTTATTTTTATCTGATCACAGCCTGTTATCAATTTTGATTTAAATAGGTTCCAGTCTCCTTAATCCAGTCCATCTATATAGATTAGACGTAAAGTAACAATCGTCTTTCAAAATTGTAGGCACTATAGGTATAAATATTGAAATACTATAATAGGTATAAATAAGTACAACATGTCGGTATGGTTTATATTTTTATTTAAATGATATTATAATATATGATTTATTGTTTTAAATAACTTAGAAGCGGATTCACTTCCAGTACAATGCAAACATTTGTTGTCATGAAGATCAATGTTCGTATTGATTTGGGTGGATTTATTTGTACCTACCTATATAACGTTTGGTATGATACTAGATTTTAAGCTGTTTTTTTTTATGTAATTTAAATTTCGAAATAAGTTGGCAGCCTACCTGATGGCCAATGGTAACCGTAGTCTACATATATCATACAGAACTACGAACATCACGTTATCATGTGACGTCGGTGATATAACTCATGCGTTGCCATTCATGTCCATGAGATGCCATATTGTATAATTTCACTTCTTTATCAATCCGAAGGCAGATTACAAAATAAGTTGGTTAGAAGCTGATATGGGTGACATTGAGGTACCCACGCAGACGTTATGTAGACTACCTATGACTACCTCGATCAGTCTGTTTGTGTTGTCTAGGATTATTTGTTTGTATATTTATTGAAGTATTTACGTGGCACGTGTCCATCGTCTCAGACTCAATCAATTGTTTGTGTCTAAGTCATAATCGAAGACTACGATTACATTTATCAGTCGATTGCGTGATATAATCTAGTCTCTATCTATCTCAGATAGCAGTAGGAAGATTTTAGTCAGTAATGGATATATTCGTCAGGGCCGATAGTCGTTTATTTTGGATACCGACTCCAATTAGGGGTGTTGATAATGTTCTGATATTAACAGTCTTCATACCGAAAAAGGAAGGCTGGAGAAGAAAATCTCTTGTATACAATTCTGTTCGTGGGGTAAGTTTTATATCCAAATGTCAATTATTTTTATCTTTATATATCTTTACATCGAATATATTTATAATTTTGTGATATTAATAAATAGATTTCTGACTGATAACTTCAAATTATGATCGAAATTATATTCATCAGAAAAAAGTTACCCAAAATAATCTATTGTATTCTTTAAACAATTAAAATTAATGGACATAAGCTTAATAACTAACACGTAAATTTTAATTAATTTCAATATTTAAGCTTATTACTTATATTCAAATTTTTGTCAGACAAGTACGCCATCTGACAAAATTTAGTAAAAAGTTATCTCTAATAGTCTATTGTATTCTTTAAACAATGAAAATAAATGGACATTAACTTAATAACTAACACGTAAATTTTAATTAATTATAATATTTATCACTTATAAAAATATTTTCTAAAGATTTTGTAGATTTTATTTTAATGTTACCTGTTATCCAAATATATTATGATTGTAAACTTCGATATCAGAATACGACGTGAGTAAATTAATAATGTTATTGATATAAAAAGACGATTGAGGCAAATAATTTTATTACATAGATAGCATTGCATAGCTTATAGATAGAATAGAATTTAATTACCATTATCTTATTATATTGATGGTAATAATCGTTTTATAAAATTTTTTGATAAAATTGTCTCTGTCAAATTGTCATATTTTTGTTTATTTTGTCACGTATGTATCTTGATCAGGATCTGTTTGCCTTTGTATTTTGATAATGTTCTAAATCATACCTCACCAATTTTAGATTTTTAGAGCTCTTAACTGCGTTTAAGGAGCTATTGACTGTATTTATAAATATAAATAGATTTAATTGCCTTAAAACTGTATACCATGCACTAGTACAATCAATTATTACATACTTATTACCTCCTGAGGAGGAGCAGATAAAACTATATTGCTGAGACTTGAACCAGCACAAAGATCTGTATTGAAGGTAATGACAAAAAAACGAATTCTGTTTCCTACTGAAGATTTGTATTCAATTTGCCAGGTCTTAACTGTCCGTCAACTATTTGTGCTAAACATTACGCTTCGTAAACATTCTCAGCTTCCATATGTTTCAAATGATACAAATTTAAGACGTAGAACTTATAAAATATGTAAATTAAATCTTTGTCGTACTGCAATAGCTAGTCGTCATTATAACCACATAAGTTCTATTTAGTACTATCACAAAGAAATAGCTAGGCAGCTACCTCGGACAAAGAATTAGTCTAGCCATTCAAAGTGAGAGCGCTGCCAGTATCTTCGGAACTTTGCCTAAAGGGACTCTTTGTAATAATATATTTTAGTTATTGTATTATATGTTTTAAGCTTTTTAATTTTAGGTTCTTAGTAGTACAATTAAGTTATGTAAATAAACATTAATTCTATATATATAATAAACAAAACAACTGGATTTAGTAAATTATACAGTTCTATTTTGTATACCTAATAAGTTGAATAAAGAATTGAACATATATCCCCTATCCTACTACAAATGTAAGCTGTTGTATGCTCTAAAACTTAACTTATGAAAAAGAAGATCTTTTAAAACTTTATTAACTTGACTTGTATCGTAAATATTGTGATTTCAAAAATAATGTATACTAATCATAGACCACTCTCTCTCTCTCTCTCACACATAGACACACACACACACATATTATGGTTTCTTTTTTTTTGTTTATAAGTTAAATTTTCTTTGTATTGGCAAATTTAAATATTTTGTAAATTTTATTAGACAATACGTGATGGGCAACGTCATAGCATGTATTTTTTTTGGAATGATATAAACTAGGTAGAGTGCGTCGATATTCGCAACACAGTTTTATACTTCTGTGGATATCATCGTTTCTTCAGTAAATTAGTACACATGTTTTCTGTATTAAGTAAATAAATAAATAAAAAAAATATATAAATAATCTTTATTCAAATAAACTCATTACAAGCACTTTTGAATACATGTTTAAATATATGGAAAATATTTTTGTTATATTTGAAAATATGAATGAGTTTTACTTTTTTTACTCTGTGAACAAATAGATAAGCTTAAGGTTTAAAGATTAGATCAATTGTATCACACTTTACCTAGAATGTGCAATTAAGGTTTCAACTTTAAAACTATTGATAATATCCGCTGTATCAATATATTTTACTTCAAATCTAACTTATATGATTATAAAAACATAATTACGACCTTTATGCACCCATAAAGTAGTATCTACGACGCTATTAGTACTAATATTTTGTTTGATTAAAATTTTCATAAATGTTATCTCGTTTGAGATAAAGTTACATAACAAGAAATACGATTTAAAAAAACACTGCTTTTTTGTATATATTTAAAATAAATGGCATTACAGTATCCTTAGTGTGATATCATATAATTTAAATAATAGTATTGATTAAAACAAAAGTTATAACACTCTTGCTTAATCCTACAGCCTACCCAATTTGGGTACAAAGTCTTCTGCGTACTTCAATCTCTACTGTTTAACAGTAGAGATTGAAGTACGAAGACTAGGATAAGAAGCAAATATTTAAAGCTACCGGAATTGCAACTCATGAGCGGTATCACGGACTTCAGTACACGATGTCTGTAGTATTGTTCATTTAAACAATTACAACTTATTATGAGGTGAGCCGAAAGCTTGTTTGCCTTTCCAATTTCAACTAATGAATCATAGTCATGGATAATTTATATTATTAAATTATATATGAATATTGCATATATCCATGCTGTGTCCATTATAGTGTAGGTAAAAAAAGGAATGGGCTGTAGATTTTTATTCATCATTTGCTTAAATGATGAATAAAAATCTACAGCCCATTCCTTTTTTTGAAGACTCTAGATTCGTCTAGGCAGTAGACATATACAATAATAGGGTAGTTGGGTTTGCCGCTAGTTCCTGTAATTTTTTTAATGTTTTGTTTCGACGAATGCAGTGAAATTTCTTTCACGATTTTAATTAAATTAATGCAATGAACTGTGTAAATATTTTAAAGTTTCAAGAATAAACATCTAATTTTGCAGTGCATGTAATAGTTTTACGAAATCGAATCTGTTTAGTACTACACTGTGTGAGTTTAGGCAATGGTGAAACTAGTATAATAAAAGTTTTTATGACGGGGTCATTATTTTAGAGATATGTTGCTATGGTAATATGGAGCTGTTTTGAATTTAGTTTCATGGAATTAATTTATATTATGACCCTAGTTTCATGTTATATAACACTAAATTAATGTAGAAATTTTTAACTTACTCTGGTGATTAATATACAAGCACCTTAAAAAAAGTGGGATCTGAAGACGAGATACGCGACACAGTGATTTGTTTTAAAATATTAATAATGTAATTAAGAGCGATTACGCATAGGTTGGTACAAGATATGTTGGTGTTTTGTGCCTCTAGTAGGTTTGTATAACATCTTGGGCACGATAAGGATTCCTGACAAATGTATTCTTTCTTTATCACCACGTGGTTTATGGAGTTCACTTTAAGCAAATTATTTCTATAATCGTATGAGTCATTCATATAAATTACTATCTGGGTATAAACTGTAATATTTGTACATTGGAAAATACAAAGGTACATACGTACTTACCTACGTCTATTATACGAGTACGTGACGAATTATTATTACACATATTATTCAACCTTATCATATGCTGATACGTAACATTTTGATGTATTCCGCATACGATTTACTAGATTAATTATTTGTGGATTGTACACAATTAGATACCTAATAACCATCGTAATAATGATCATTATCTTATCTAATATTGCAAATGTGTCTTTAGAGACAGAGACATAAGTAGTTTCTTGACTGCCCACTATACTACTTACATTAGGGATTACACGTAGGTGTCAAGTTGTAGTAGTTTTTAATGCGGCTTTGTCTGAATGACCTATGACATAAAAAATATTTTACATCATTGTTATTTTTT